ACGTGACTCCTTCTCGACACCCAGATCTTAGTTCACGTAACACCTCCTCAGAGAGTCCTCTGTTTGTCCTTTCCGTACCAACCCCAACCCTTGCTCCCAAACGTCTATCAAATCACTCCCTCTTGTTGTGTCATCCTGAAATCCCCTTACCTGCATGGTGCATTGATCGCCTCTACTCTGTAGTAGAATGCCATCCCTATCAGAACAAGAATTCTGCCTTGGTCACTGCAATACCCCACAGCCTAGAATAGATGCTTGGCAGATAAATATCGGCTGTCGCATGTTCATGGATAATTCGCTGGAGTACAAATTTTACTTGAAGATGAGTAGCTTAATATTCCATTTTCATATTAAAATAAACATGGGCATATTAAGGAGTAGGCTGTACAGAACGTTAAGAGAAAACACGAGGCTTCAGGGAGAATCCCTGTTTGCTAAGGCTGCTTTGAGCTGGGTTCCCAGACTCCTAGAGACTCAAGTTCATGATCCTCTGCTAATCCTTTCTCCAGAAGAAAATTCTGACAAGCATACAGCTCAGTGTTGTCACAGCAATGCGTGGCTCTTAGGTTCCAATCTCTGAACGATTTCCCAATACAAAGTAAACGACCCCCACATACACCCAAGCCTTCAGCTGCTTAATTATTTTAAATATAGGTATGGACTTTTTAAGTTTATTTTTACTTATTTTTTGAGAGAGAGATAGACAGCAATCTGGTGAGGGGCAGAGAGAGAGAGAATCCCAAGCAAGCTTCACACGGTCAGTACAGAGGTGGATGTGTATCTCATGAACTATGAGATCATGACCTGAGCCAAGATCAAGTTGGACGTTTAACTGACTAAGCCACCCAGGCGCCCCGGATACGGAACTTTTAAGTTAACTAATTACATGCATTGTCTTACCCTTGACCAATAATTCATCTCTCCCCCTCAAGTCAGTCTAGATTAGCCAGAAGTGGATTCTACTTTGAGAAGGACACCAGGCTTACTTGCTAGTAGCAATTCTTCCCGTTTTTATAGATTTGCCCAGCTGTGAGGTATGAAAGTGACTGTCGGACATAAAATTCCTGGAAAAATTTTTGCCCCTGGCAAAAATCTAGTATGCCTTGAAAGCAATCATTTCCTCCCCTAGAAATGACTCTACTTAATTTATTAAAAATATAGGGGCACCCGGGTGGCTCAGTCAGTTGAGCATCTGACTTCAGCTCAGGCCATGATCTCACAGTTCGTGGGTTCAAGCCCCGCTTCAGGCTCTGTGCTAACAGCTCAGAGCCTGGAGCCTGCTTTGGAATCTGTGTGTGTGTGTGTGTGTGTGTGTGTGTGTGTGTGTGTGTGTGTGTCTCTGCCCCTCCCCTGCTCGTACTCTGTCCCTCGACAATAATTAAATGTTAAAAAAATTTTTTTAATTTAAAAATTAAAAACACCAAGTTTACTTCGAAAATATATATATATATATATGTGGTATTTATCATGAGCCCTTTGACTCCTGAGTATCTTGCAAATATGTTAACTCATTTAGACCTTATGGCATGCCTATTATTCTCCTTGTTTTTTTTTTTTTTTTTCAATGCTTTTATTTATTTCTAGGAGAGAGAGAGAGACAGTGTGAGCAGGGGAGGGTCAGAGAGAGAGGGAGTCACAGACCGAAACAGGCTCCAGGCTCCGAGCTGGCAGTCAGCACAGAGCCCGACGCGGGGCACGAACCCACGAACCGCGAGATCATGACCCAAGCGAAAGTCGGACGCTTAACCGACTAAGCCACCCAGGCGCCCCTCTCCTTGGTTTTTTTTTATTTGTTTTTAATGTTTATTTATTTTTGAGAGAGAGACAGAGACACACAGAGAGAGAGACACAGAACATGAGTGGGGGAGGGGCAGAGAGAGGGAGACACAGAATCTGAAGCAGGCCCCAGGCTCCAAGCTGTCAGCCCAGAGCCTGACTCAGGGTTTGAACCCAGGAACCGTGAGATTATGCCCTGAACTGAAGTCAGATACTTAACTGACTGAGCCCCTCCCCCTGTTTTTTAAATAAGGAAACTGAGGCACGGAGGAATTAAATAACTGGCCCAAAGCCATCTAGCCTGGGAGGGACAGAGATGGAATTCAAACCCACAGAGTACACTTCCAGAACAGTGCTGTCTGGTAGATATATTACTAGCCACATACAAAATTTAACATTTTCTAAATAAATAAAACAAAAATTTCTAAGAGCCACATTTAAAAAATGAAAGGAAAAAAGAAGCAGGTGAGATTAATTTTAATAATATATTTTATTTAACCCAGTTATATTAAGTATTATCATTTCCACATGCAATCGACGTAGAAGTCATTAATGAGCTCTTTTACATTCTTTTCGGTGTTCTAAGTCCAAACCCTGGCTGTATTTTACACTGAGAGCACAGCCCAGTTCAGACCAGCCACATTTCAAGCACTCAGGGGCCACATGCAGACCCTCTCTTCCATGTAGGACGGCACAGCTGAGTGTCTACACTGCCTTTAATGATACTTCTTGGGAGAACGAAGAGCTTTTATGATGTTGGCTTTACAACAGAGACTTGGTAGAAAACTTCAAGCCTCATCTCGAACGCTGCAGTGAGTGCCACAGACTGGCATTGCTTCAGCTTACTTACCACCCCCCGCAGTGTGCACTGTGCAGTGTTTCCACAGTTCTGAGATGCGTAAGGGCACGTCCACAACAAAACCCCAACACTAGGGACATGGAATGGATTTTTCCACCCAAACAGGGAGCCAGGAGCCTGGGCTGCAGGTATAGTGCTGGAAGGCTAAGGAGCTGCCCTGTATCTCCGGCCACTCATTTCTCAGTATCTCCGCCCTCTGGTTGGCACCAGGATGGGGCCGGTTTTGATGGACATTCTTCTCAGTCCCCAGGGAGCCCAGTGGTAAAGGCATGCGCTCAGCAAGTGAGGCCTGGGCGGGCGTCTTGCCTTCTCCACTAGAAGCTGGCGGCCTGGGGCAAATGCTGTACCTCCCCAGTCCCTGGCTTCTGGGTGTTGTGAGGTTGGAGCTGACACGTCCCTCACTTAGCCCGCGAGCATGTGATGCGCACAAAATAAACAGACACATGTTCTTGATCATGTTACTCAACGATCATCTAGATTCATTTTTTTTTTTCTTTCTGTATGTATAAGCTAAAACATTTGAGGTAATTAGCTGAAACTTTAAAGATAAAATAAGCCTGGGGAGCCTGGCTGGCTCAGTCAGTAGAGCATGCGACTCTCTATCTCGGAGTTGTGAGTTTGCGCCCCACTTTGGGTGTAGAGATTAATTAAAAATTTTTTTTAATCTTAAAATAAAATAAGCCTGTCTGAAATAGTTCAAAATTTAGAAAATTGAAGCTGGGAGGTAGATTTGTTTGATCTCCTGGGTACTTTCTTTCCTTTTATAGGTATAATATCAGCTTGTTGAAGGAAACCATGATAAATGGAAAGTTCTAACAAGACTATTAAGCCAAAATCCCAAATCAAATGGAATAAACTCTAATATTTTCAATTATGTAAGATATAAACTCATACATGTGTCTTCTTTAGTTTCTTCAAAACCCCTATATGCTCTCTTTTGTGCAATATAGAAGAGAATTTGCATTTTAGCCAAATAAACATTTGTGTTTCATTCTGTGTCCATTTTATATTTTTTAATGTTTTTTTGTTTTTTGTTTTGTTTTACAGAGAGTGTGCCAGCAGGGGAGGGGCAAAGAGAGAGGGAGACAGAGGATCCAAAGCAGGCTCCATGCTGACAGCAACGAGCCCGATGCAGGGCTTGAACTCACAAACCGTGAGATCGTGACCGGAGCCAAAGTCAGGTGCCCAAGTGTTCTCTTGCTTGTAGGAACTTTGAAGGCAAACCCAGTAGCTGTCCCACAGCTGCGTATTAAGGACTTGGGCTGAATGATATATCATAGAAAATGCATATATTCTGTACACATGACCTAGCTGGTCTCATGATTATGGAAACATGAGCAAGTGATGCTTGAATTACCTTCTTAGAGAATGTTCTTCATGCAGAACACTGCAAAGAAAGGCAAACTTCTTCAGGCTGAGGCAGGCCGGAAAACATGGAGACATGGATAGAATGGCTAGCCATTCACTACCTACTAAAACAGCCCTAGATAACACGCAAATACCATCAAACATTTTTTCCATAAAAGATCGTGCATACCATGCACATATTTAATACTGTCCTTGGCTCTCTCGTAGCATTTGCCTCTGGAGTCCTTTTCACCACTTTGAAATCTCGGTTGGTGACCACAGAAATATTACCCAGAGCACTGACTAGCAGCAAGGTACAGGCTAAGGGAGCATTTTCCTCTGTGTTTCAGCCCTGACAGGGAGCAGGGAGAACCCACCATTCTGCCCATTAAGCAGAGGAAGAAAAGAGGCAAGATGGATTTGAGTGAGTTCTTTCTGAGATATTGGCGATACAAACCAGGCACACTTAGCAACACACGAAGAGGGGATTGAAAGGAGAATCATTTCAATCAAAAGAGAGAGGAAGCAGTTCGAATAATGCTGATCCCAAGTGCAAAGGAGGGTATTTTTTCTCCTTCTTGAAAAAGTCTACTGGATCCTTTATAAATCGTTCTTCTCTTCTACAATGTCTGTGGATACTGATTCTAGGTGAAAATGAAACCTTGCCTTTCAAGGGTCCCACAAACGGAAGTTGGGATCGCAACTCTTGGGAACATGTTTGTGATTGCTGAACGAAATACAAATATACATGCCACAGAGCAGTCAGCAAAACACAACATTAGAAGAATTTCTTTTTTTTTTAATGTTGATTGATTTTTGAAAAAGAGAGCACAAGCAAGGCAGGAGCCGAGAGGGCAGAGAACAGAGGGTCCAAAGCGGGCTCTGTGAGCACAGAGCCCGACGTGGGGCTCGAACTCGCAGACGGCAAGATCACGACCTGAGCTGAAGTTGGACACTTAACTACCCAGGCGCCCCTAGAAAATTTTCTGAATGTTTTTCTACAAAGAAATATAATTCTAAATTCTTAATTCACTAATTTTGCAAACTTTTAGCCACCAATATTATATTCCTTGCCATATGTGAGGCTTTAGGGACAAAAGACATTCTTTGCCCTCAAAGAGCTCGCTGCCTATAGAGGAATCAAGGACACAATGACTGAGTTTGATAAGTGCTTTGACACAGATAAGCACAGGGTGCTTCTGGGGGCAGATAAAAGGGGTCTTCATCCAGGTCTGGGTGGAGGGGACCGTTTTCAGGAAGGTTTTCTGGAGCAGGTGACATCCGAAACAGGCAGAGGGGCCTGCAAAGCCCCCAGATGGTGAGAAAGAGCTGGAAGGGCTGGAACGCAGCCTGCAGGCCAAGTGGTGACGGTTGGCACTGAGCACGCTGACTCGGGCCCGAGGACACCCCGCGCTGTGGCCTCCTGTGACCCTGGGTACTATCTGGAAGACGATGGGGAGCCAGGGGAAGTTTGACAGGGGACAGATGTAGTCCTATCTGGGCTGCGGAAAACTCACCCTGGCAGCAGCGTGGAGGTAATTGACGTGTGGACTGAGATGAGAGACAAAGAGGCCTGTTAGAACACTGTTGGAAAAATCCAGGTTAAAAACAAAACCAAACCGATGAGGGTTTGAACTCATGCCACGGGGATCGTTCTTCAGGTAATAGCAACAGGATTTTATGACCAATTAGAGGTGAACGAGGAGGAATTATGGGCAACTGCCAGGCCCTAGTTCGGGTAGCAGGGTGGCTCACGGTACCATTCACCAAAATAAGGAAATACAGTTCGTTCGTTCCGCCCGAGGCTCTTTCTGACCTCTGGGTGACCCCGCTCCTCACAGCCTCGGCAAGCCACGGGAATTCTGCCTCAGTAGCTCATTCGGATCCACTCCTTCCCGGCAGTGTCGATCCAACGCGTTCTCCAAAAGGTGGGAACCAGGAAGAAATTCCAACTGGGAGAGGCATCAACATGGGGCACAAATCAACCAACCCACCAAACTGTCATCCAGATACACTGCCAGAAGTTTCTAAGTGAAAGCAACATGAAGCACAAGGACCAAGGAAGGTTTTGTTATGGAGACATTTGCCTTCATTCTGAGGATGCCAGTGTTTACAGAGGTTGGATTCCAAAGTCACTGATATCTTTGCAGAAAGGGAGCTGAATATGTGTCTTTCCGTGAGGTATATGGCAGAGAGCGTACAATTAAGAGAAAACAGGCCATGAAGTCCATTCATTTGATGAAAAATTGGAATACAGCTTAGAAAATATGGCACGTCTCACCCAGAGAAGGGTTTGGTTATTGCTAATATGCCAGTCTTGATTACGCTAAGGAGTTCTGGCTCAATCGGTACTCAGTTTGCCCACTACTCTATCCTGGCTTGGGAACTATGCATTCGAAACCATGACTGCACCCCACACAGAGAACTATCTCCTGACACCAGCACTTCCTGCTCAGCGGGAAGGAAGGTTCGAGTACCTCGCTGGCAGCAGCATTTGGAAGGACTTAATGAGTGTTTGTGGAGCGCTCCCAGGCCCGAAGATGAAAGGCATCTCACGAGCACAGCCTCTAATTGATGTTTGTTATTTTGAATGTTTCACTAAAGAACTTTTCTCCATATAAATGAACAAGCTTTGAGAAGGACATAAAATGGAAGAGTCTCAAGTGTGGACCTCTACCAACCTTTTTTTTTCCCCGGCAGTAATTTCAAACGTGGCAATTTCCCACTCAGTAGCGATTATCCCTGCGAAGGAAGAACACTGACGTCAGGTGTTGTGATCCTATAGCCTAGTCTACTGACGGCCAAAACAACCATGTCTTTGGAAGTAAATAAAACACATAGATAAATAAATAAATAATCCCAAGCTTTTGATGGGCCAAACCATCTGCGTTTCAATCTATTCTAAATCTATTGTAAAGCTTGCTTTGTGTCTCTGGCACATTGGAAATAAATAGGTGATCAAAAATTTGCATGTAGAACTATACATTTGGCTTGGCTTAGCTTCGTTGTCCTATAAGTTGTTTTCATAGTCCAAAGGTTCGATGAAAACTCAATACTCGGGGCACCTGGGTGGCTCAGTCGGTTAAGCGTCTGACTTCGGCTGAGGTAATGATCTCTCAGTTCATGGGTTCGAGCCCCGCGTCGGGCTCTGTGCTGACAGCCAGCTTGGAGCCTGGAGCCTGTTTCAGATTCTGTATCTCCCTCTTTCTCTTACTCTCCTCTGTTCACGCTCTCTCTTTCTAAGAAATAGATAAAACATTAAAAAAAAAAAAAACAAGGAAAACTCAATACTCAAAAACTTAATAATCCAGTGAAGAATAGGGCAGAAGACAAGAACAGACATTTTCCCGAAGAAGACATACAGATGACTAACAGATACATGAAACGATGTTCAACGTTATTCATCATCAGGGAAATACAAATCAAAACCACGATGAGACACCCCCTCACACCTGTCACAATGGCTAAAATTAACAACACAGGAAACAACAGATGTTGGCGAGATTATGGAGAAAGGGGAACCCTCTTACACTGTTGGTAAGAATGCAAACTTGTACAGCCACTCTGGAAAACACTGTGCAGGGTCCTCAAAAAACTGAAAATAGAACTACCCTACGACCCAGCAATTGCACTAGTAGGTATTTACCCAACGGATACAAATATACAGATTTGAAGGGGTTATACACCCCAACATTTATAGCAGCATTATCAACAATAGGTAAACTACGGAAAGAGGTCAAATGTCCATCCACTGATGAATGGATAAAGAAGATATGTATATATCTATAAAGGAATATTACTCAGCCATGAAAAAGAATGAAATCTTGCCATTGGCAACAATATGGATGAAGCTAGAGTATATTACACTAAGCAAGATGAGTCAGAGAAAGACAAATACTATATGATTTCACTCATATATGGAATTTAAGAAACAAATCAGATGAACATATGCGGGGGGGAGGAGAGAGGGAAACAAACCATAAGAGACTCTTAAAGATCCAGAACAAACTGAGGGTTGATGGAGGGAGATGGGGGATGGGCATTAAAGAGGGCCCTTGTTGGGATGAGGCCTGGGTGTTGTATGTAAGTGATGAATCACTAAATTCTACACCTGAAACCAATTTTACCATGTATGTTAACTAACTAGAATTTAAATAAAAACTTGAAAGAAAAAAAAAAGTTTCAAGGAAGAATCAGGTTGTTCCATTTAGATCCCAAGATAGGCACTATTTGCTTTGTAACTTAGCCACGTGTTATCAGCCAGTACCTGACTCATTGCCCCATTTGGTCAAATGTGCATGCATCCCAGGTCAAGAAGAGAATTCAGTGCTACGAGAGACCTGGAGACAAAGTCTAATGGAGGAGAACTGACTGGTTCTCTCAGGATGTGCTTTCTCCCGTGCTGGGCAATGTAACAATCTCCCTTCTCCAGTCTTCCCTTCCTCCACAACAACGCATATAATTTACACCCGAAGGAGGAGATGATGAACTCAAACCCAACACATCTTCAGGTGAGCTGGAGTGTCGAGTTTCTAAATTGGCAGATAAAAATTAAAGGACGGGGACTCCTGGGCAGTTCAGTTGGTGAAGCATGCAATTCTTCATCTCCAGGTTGCAGGTTTGAGACCCCACACTGGATGTAGATTGGACTTAAAAATAAAATTTTAAAAATATACATATTAAAAACATTTAAAGGACAGCTGTAATCATAGATTACTTATTACATCTTTCCAGATTTCTTCGATGATCCCAGCAACTAACAGAGCAGGAACACTCTGGAAAGAATACAGTTCAACCACTATTACATAGATCTTTCCAAATCTAAGCCAAACCCAGCCAAGCCTTAGGTCAGCTCTCCCAGAGTTGACCATTTCTTCCTTTTTTGTAAATATTCATTTATTTTTGAGAGAGAGGGAGGGGCTAGAGAGAAAGAGAGAGAGAGAGACAGAATCCAAAGCAGGCTCCAGGCTCTGAGCTGTCAGCACAGAGCCCGACGCAGGGCTCTGACTCGTGAACTACGAGATCATCACCCGAGCCGAAGTCGGACGCTTAACCAACCGAGCCACCTAGGCGCCCCCAGAGTCGACCATTTCTAGAGAGACTGTACCTTAGGAAATGTCTCTGGGAAACTCATGAGCCTGTCTGTCATGCCTTCATCTGTCTCAAAAGAAAGCATTTGAGGTTGACTTTTGACTCGTGGTGGACACATCTCCAAGTTAAAGCAAAAGGGGCTGTCACCTTGTTTCCAATCCGGGCGGACCTGGTCTTTTATGAAGCCCACAATGCTTCACTTGCTAATGAAGGTCCCAGAAGAACGTGGAACATCAGGGCAAAAGTTGGCCTGTTGTGTGAAAAACCATGTGAAGCGCTTTATATACACAGCCTCCACCTTCACCCATGTCCTCCAATCCAGAAAGCAGAACACTCTTCCAGCCTTGCTTCTGTTAAGATTTGCCCTTTGAATCTCCCTCTGGGTTCCTTTTTACGTGAGTTTGCCTTTAAGAATATACTTGGTGGAGAGGCGCCTGGGTGGCTCAGTCATTTAAGCGTCCGACTTTGGCTCAGGTCGTGATCTCACAGTTTGTGGGTTCGAGCCCCGCATCAGGCTCTGGGCTGGCATCATGGAGGCTGCTTCAGATTCTGTGTCTCCCTTTCTCTCTGTCCTTCCCCTGCGCTCTCTCACTCACTCTCTCAAAAATATATAAACACTTAAAAATAATAATAATCTACTTGGTAGAGAAGGTCAGGGCACAACACACCTTCCCCTGGACATCGTACTTCCTTCGGAAGATGACTCTGAACTGTGAGTCAGAGTCAGGACTCAGCTCAAGCCCGAGTGTCCTGAACCGGAGACGAAATGCAGACTATCTGAAATAGTGCACAGTGCTTCACATGTCCCAGCTCAACGTGCACATGTGGCTCAGAAGAGGCAGCACAAAGTGGCTTGAGAAGCCCGAGCAAATAGAGCTCCATCCTGAAATCAGATTTTTTTAAATAAAATTAAACGAATGGCAGAGCAATCATCATCTGTTATAAAGTATGCCAATGACAGTAAAAGCTTTGTTATCAGACCAGTGCGGGGTGGGGATGGGGGTGCGGTGGCTGCTGGTCAGCTAAAAATTCTGGTTAGTAAGGCTTTATTCATATTGCCCGGGGGGTTCTGCCTCTTATCTCTTCTCTGCCCCCCCTTTTATAAATGTGAGAAAGTGTATCTGGTTTGCACGCAAGTGGCCATTTCAAGTTTACAGAGATGGAGAATTAATTTTGTTTTCCAAAAAGCAGCAGGAAGAGCAGACCGCTGCTCCATCCCTGTGCTCATGCGTCTCAGCTGCTCACCAGGGTGAAGGTGTTGTTTCAGGGTTTTGTGTGTGTGTGTGTGTGTGTGTGTGTTCTTTTTATTATTTCTAATACTTTGGGGTTGACTTCACTACCAAAAATAGGGTTAACGTTTTATTAAATAATCTTTAAGTGGTAAGCAGTTGAAGGAACGAAAATGGGCAAAGTGAGCCCCGGGAAGCAGCAGAGAGGGACAGTCCCTGGGTGTCCACGAGGCTCCCCTGTCTTTCCGAGGCATTACCCTTATGGATTTGAGCAAGTCATTTAGCTGCTTCGGCTCTTAGTTTTCTCATCCGTAAAATGGGCATAATAGACTGGGGACACCTGAAGCCCCTTCCAATCCAGGATTCTCATTGTATCCTCAAGAGAGAAAGCCTCCTGGGGCGCCTGGGTGGCTCAGCCAGTTAAGTGTCCAACTCCAGCTCAGGTCATGATCTCGCGGTTTGTGGATTCGAGCGCCACGTCGGGCTCTGTGCTGACAGCTCGGAGCCTGGAGCCTGCTTCAGATTCTGTGTCTCCCTCTCTCTCTTTGCCCCTCCTCTGCTCCCAATCTGTCTCTCTCTAAAATAAATAAACATTAAAAAAATTAAAAAGAGAGAGAGAAATTCTCCAGAAGCCTCTGAGGGAGGGAGTGTCATCCTGACTGTCCAGACCATCTGGCGACCTTGAAAAAGTTATCACAGCCAAAGCCTCTGAAAAGGATAGTGGGTTCAAGTCAACCTCCCACAAATTCTTTGAAAAAGCCCTGACCCTCATACTCATACATCCAAGCTCATAAATGTCGGGGGTTCTCTCCTCTCTGCGAGTGTAGGAAGGCCAGAGTCAAGACCTGACCTTGGCCAATTTGTCTGAAATCAAGACACTGAACAAACAGAGGTGGGACTGTGGCTGGGCCAGCACTTTCCGCCCCCTCCTAGGAGACACAGATGTGGAGCCCTGGCTCGCAGAACTCAGGGCCCGCCACAAATTAGAAGAAGGCAGAGATGCCACCAACCCAGCCACACATTGTCACGGAGGCATGGCACGGTGGGAGGCCCGGCTCTGAAGCCAGAAGTCTTGGTCTGGGGGCCCAGTGTTGTTTTGCTGCAGGTGGGATGTTGAGCGAATTCCTTAGTCTCCCTGCGCCTGAGCTCGTGATCAACGAATGTCCAAACAATGCAGAAGCTGAAATGAAGGAATACGTACAACTCGGTGCACAGTGCCTGGAACACACTAGACACTCAACAAAATGACGGTTGATATTTCAGTGAAGGCGCAGGGACCTAGGTAGCGGGCCATGCGAATTCCCTAAGAAACGCGGGTGGGAAACCAGTTTGCACTGGCCGGAGAGACTGGGCCCAAATTACCTATCTGGCCTCTTTTTTATGAGTGTAGGAAGGAATTTCTATTCCTCGAGGAAGACTAAGGAACAGAAGGGGGCTAGGTTCTCTCTGTCAAGGGTCCAAACTGACTCTGGCCAGAGGGAAGGGAAGGACCAGGACCGAGAAGAACTTCAGGAATGAAAGGAATGAACTCATGAAGTGACAAGGCATTATCCGTGTGCTAATACACAGTGAGGCGGGGAGAAGCATGTATGCGTGGAAGGCCCAGAAAAAAACAAGGATCACTATCTCTACCAGATGAGGCGGGCCATGCCCGAGGACATAAGGCCCATTCTTCCCTTCCAAGTCATTTGTTTGCCTTCCTACAGAGAAGGAAGCAGAATGGGGGAAAAAAACACACTGGGGACTGACCCGGGGACCACCCCGTCCTCTACTGGCACATGACTAAGCTGTCCCCACCCGACGCCGAAGCCAGAAAGGTGGTTCCTGGAAGGGTCTTGTCATTTCGTTAATAGTGTCAACCTTCGTAAACAGCGTATTCTCGCTCGGGTCCTGCAACGCCCAAGAGAGAAGGGAAAGAGCCAGAAAAGAAGGTCACTGTCAGCTGGACTCGTGTTGAGTCGGCAGGACTTCCAGACACGCTCTCCCTGAAGACGCATCCCTCCCTGCTCTCCAGGGCTTCGGCTTTTTGCAGGGGCACTCGAAGGAAAGAAAAGCCTAAAGAGCCAATGTTCTCTATTCTTTGGTGCCGTCCTGTCTCTATATGACTGTCTATCATTAAAGATAATGGATTAAAGGATCATATCATTAAGCTGAAAAGAGAGGTCATTATTTGTTACACCACCTCACCTTAAAGAGAATACTTGGAACACAGAGCAATGACTAATAGTAATTAGACTGGGGACTCGGGGCAGCACACTTGGTGGTGGTGACCCCACGCTACACCGCAGAGAGTCACGCAGACCCAGGGCCGGGTCCCCGTATGGGGCAAGCAAAATGGATTTCTCTATCATCGAAATGATCAGAGTAGGAGTCAAGCACTCCTAGTGATGCTTGGAACAGCCACTCATTTCTTGGGGTCCCAGTGGCCTCATCCCAACCATGATGGGGCAGGGCTAAGGTGACGCTTTGGATTCCAACGTCAGTAGTGACCAAGGCTGTGGGGTCCTGGACCTGGGTCAAGTGCTGGCTCTAACCCCTAATACCTGTATGACCTTGACAAGCTTCTGTGAAATGAGATAACCGAACTATCTGCCTCATAGGATTTGGGGAGAAAGAAGTTAACGCACGGAACACTGAGTGGGAGCACCAAGGTGATAGAAAGGAGAGGGGGCCCCTGCCTTCAGCGGGTTTCCAGTCTGTAAGACTCACTGGAACAAGCACACTTGGTAGAAATAAATCTCCACTAAAGGAATAAGACAGGTTGGTGCATGTACACGACTTCTGTCGACACATTTCTTTATAAGAACTGATTCTTAACTAACAATCGGTGTAATTCCCCAGAAGGAAAAAAACCCACCATTAAGAGTTATATGAAAGCATGTACCTGATCGCCTGCCGTAGACTGGGCCCTCGGATAAGTAGGTCAGAATTTGTACAGATATGAATGCATCAGAGTTAAGCGTTTAAGAAAGGCAAAGATTACAGCGAGGGGGCCGGACGGCGCCAGCTCAAAAGGACAGGGACAGGAAGGAAGAGAAATAGAAAAGACGAGAGAAAAGAATTCTGAGCCAGGTGGACAGAATTGGGGGCAGTAAAATGGCAGTAGGAGGTAAGGCAATGTGAGTGCGTTGGCCTGGCTGGTGTTGAAAACGTACGCCAGGAGAAAGGAGGGCAGATCAGGCTTCGTTTCCAGGGCCAGCTCCAGAGAATGGGGCCATGGCTGCCTGAAAGCCCATCCCAGGAACGTTCCAGGCTCTGGGAAGGGAGCAGGGATGGACCAGCAATATTGGCCATAAGCAGCACTCTTTCCCTGGGGGGCATCCTCCTGGGCCAGCAAGGTGCAGCTGTAGGGGAATGTTCTCTGGGTAAAAGAGGAGACAGAAGGTCCCAGAGAATCAGCACTCAAGGGACAAAGGGGTGGAGAGAGACATATGAAAGGGGTTCTGGAGACGGACGGTGCTGATGGCCGCACAACATTATAAATGTCTTTAATACCACTGACCTGTACACTTATGAATGGTTAAGATGGTAAATTTTCTGTTACATGTATTTTACCACAATAAAAAATTGTGGGGGATCCCCCCCACCCCAGGAATAGAGAGAAAGGCAGCACAGTGGGGCACACGGGACCTCAGGGAGCTGGCCACTCTTCGGGGCCCCTGTGGAAGGGGAACCACAGGCCACAAGACCAGCGCTTGGCTGAAGCTGAGGCCAGGAGGAGCACTCCTTACTACTACTTAGTACTTAACACTCAACACTTACCACCCAATGGGAAGAGAACAAACTGAGAGGCGATATGTCCAAATCTCGACCATGATTCCACCAGAGGATACAAGTTACGGGTGACGTTCATTGTTTTTCCCTGTATTTTCTAAAATTTCCAGAAGAACCCTATACTACTCTTTTTTTTTTTTTATGTTTTATTTATTCCTAGGAGAGAGAGAGAGAGACAGCGTGAGCAGGGGAGGGTCAGAGAGAGAGGGAGTCACGGACTGAAACAGGCTCCAGGCTCTGAGCTGGCAGTCAGCACAGAGCCCGACGCGGGGCTCGAACCCACGAACCATGAGATCATGACCTAAGCGAAAGTCAGACGCTTAACCGACTAAGCCACCCAGGCGCCCCGAACCCTATACTACTCTTATGATAAGAAACAAAGTTATGTACAAATTTCTGAAAACCTGTGGCTACCAATCCCGAATTTGAGCCTCATTCAGATTCAAAGTCAACCACCCCATCGATGGCAGGAAGTTCTCTACGTGGACTGCACGTCAAGGTGACAGAGAGGCAAGGGGGAAACATCTCAGTGATAGCTCAGTTTTCGTTATGGGTGCTCGTACCTACCCCCACCCCCCACCCCCACTCCTGGGAGCTCTCCGGAGTTCGGGACATTTGCAAAACAATCCTCGGGGTTGTTGTTTTGTTTAGTTTAACACTCTCAGGAATTTTCTACTTCTAAAAATTGCCTTCTTTTTTTTTCGTAGGTATGTGAGCCTGTGACATCAAACCAGACTGTAAATTCCTTGAGGGCAGAAACTGTGTCTTGTTCCTCTTTCAAGCGCCCTTGGTATGCAGCACAAAGGAAAAGATTTCATAAGCATCTGTTGACTGATGGATGTGGACTCTCATCAAGGTGGCCTTGCCTGTCTGTCCCCTGCCATCTGCCGGGCCCCTCTCTCCCCACTGGTGCCCCTTGCACTTGCCGGCGAGCAGCAGCATTTGCTGCTGTTCTCAAGAGAGACCCAGTGGATTCGGCTGATCTCTGTCTGACCGGCGGCCATCATGTGTCACTCACCCGGGGCCCCAGTCCTTCAGAGCACAGCCTCTGTGAATGTCAGGAGATGACTCCTAACCCGTGGTCGGTCTCCCCAGGGCCGGCTGCCGGATGGTGTGGCCCAGTTAATAACAATACTTAACGCTTAAACTGCGGCTTCTAAGATCCTCTTCAAAGCCTTTTACGATCATTAGCTAATTAAGGCACAGCCCTGCCCTGGTGACTACAGTTATAATTCCCACTTTACAGATGGGGAAACTGAGGCAGGTTTTAAGGGAGCAGCCGCAGGCCAGCGTCAGCCTCCTCCAAGCCGGGATTAGAAGTGGCAGATACCTGATTCTGTGCTGAAGCCGGCATCCCCTGGCCTCCACCCTCCTTACTGTAAATAAATGGTTCCTGAGTGACTGTGTGGACAAGCCTCCCCACCAGACCCGTGTTTGAGGATCAGTCTGATTCCTTCGTTCAAACCTCTTGTAACTCTGCAGGCTCAAGTTCAGCTTCCTCCTGGGATAACAAACAAAAAGGACAGAACATGGGCTTGCCAGTGGGGTTTTACGTTCTCGAGAACACTTTGCCAGCGCGCATGCCAACAGAGCAAATGGAAAATGCATATGGCGGCTGAGAGCCAATCACATACTGTCACCCACTTCAGGCCCCCTCAGCAGCTTCTTCCTAGGATGAGGTTTAAGAGAGAGAAAGAGAAAGGGGACACAACGAACCTTGAAGCTGTGGGATTCCTCGGTTGGTGACAGAAATCATAATAACGAGTCACAATCAAGTGACAAAATATGGCATATGATTAAGAGGGTTAATACTTCCGGCCTCAGATGTCAAGGTGCGCAGTAGGAAATTCTGATTGATTCGTTTGGCAGAAAGCTAAAAGACTCCAACTACCGGAAAGAGACCCCAAGACTCTTTACTAAACACAGATTCCCACTATCAGCACAGAAGGAAACCGTGGGCCTCATCCAGGGTGACGTGTTTGCGGCCTTACTCAGGAGCCATTTATTTAGAACAAGGAGTGGGGGGATGGGGGGGTATGTCAGCTTCAACACAGAATCAGGATCTGCAACCTCTAATCCCGGCTTGGAGGCTGATTCTGGCCTACGGCAGCTCACCTGACACCTGCCTCAGTTTCCCCATCTATAAAGTGGGGATTATGACTGTAGTCATCGAGGCAGGGCTGTGCCTTAATACCAGGACTGAAACAAATATTTGAGATTCTCATTAAAACGACTTACCTGTCTCCAGGCCCTCTAATCTATGGAAATAGACTAAACCCAAGGGCAGCCAGAGTGCAGGGAAGATGGGGAGTAAAGCAGGTGGGGGGTTGGGGGGGGCCATGGAAGTCACATTCTGGAAGGTGTCCCTTGCTCGGGGTGTAGAAGGACCCCAGGGACTGGGTCACTGGGAAGGTGTGGTGAGGACATTCCACACTTAAGATGCATGAAAACTCAGAGATAAGAAGGAGGAAAGAGTCAGGGGACCTGAGCGAAGCAAAGGACGGGAGTTGGAGAAAAGAACACTTCCTGACTTTTAAGTAATAGAACCTTCTGTTGTTCGGAATCACAGTAAACATACGTGGTTCGTTGGAGGAAGGTAGAATCTAACATAACAGCAGGTAACCCCACACTGAACTCAGCGAAGTACATATTTCCTGTGCTCCAAAACAGAGAGAAGTCATTTTGTGCAGCAAGAAACTCTTAAAAGTGATCACTGAGCGCTTAATGTTTGCAGCTTATAAATACTTCCCCTTATAACTCCCTGAGCAGTTAAGCCAAATTCATCCCATGCGCATTAGCAATGGCGGAAACATCCGAACAGACAACATGTTCCAGGACAAAATTAAGATCTTCGTATCATGGGGCGCCTGGGGGGCTCAGTGGGCTAAGTGTCCGACTTCAGCTCAGGTCATGGTCTTGTGGTCTGTGGGTTCAAACCCCGCATCGGGCTTTGTGCAGACAGCTCAGAGCCTGGAGCCTCCTTCAGATTCTGTGTCTCCTTCTCTCTCTGCCTCCCCCTGCTCATGCTCTGTCTCTCTCTCTCTCTCTCTCTCTCTCTCAAAAATAAATAAAAACATAAAAAAAGAAAGAAAGAAAGATCTTCCTACCAGGAGAGGGCATAACCTGGTTCTGAAAGCAAATGCCAGGAAAAAAATAAAATCATATTTAACTCACAAATTTTCACCTAAAGCATAAATGAGAGGTGTTCGTGCAGAATCAGGAGTTGAAGGGGTTTGTTTTGTCTGTTTGTTTTGCCTTTATGGAATTCACTATTGGAATCAAAGTCATTAAGAGCTGTTAGCCTAACAGTCTCGAGCCAGGTTAGAATCAAGGTGGATTTCAGATGCCACATTTTGTTGGTCTTGAACTCTATGCCGTTTCTTGCAGAGGTGAAAGGCTAAGGAGTGAATGCCGAGTGACTTGAAAAAGAGAAAGATGTAGTCATTCCCCAGCAAAGGGACACTGGCCACAAATGTACGCTGGCCTTGGCCTTTCTCATCCCAAAGCCCCTGAGTAAAGATAAAAGGCCATGAGACCAGAGGTTTGAGTCGACGCAACAAAGGAGAAATATATTGGAAGGGCACGTTCCCAGGATTCTCCCCTAGAGAAAATAGCCGCGAGGTGTAGCCAGAGAGGTCAGCTGCCTGTGGAAAAGTTGAAATGTAATCTACCACAGCTAAGGTTGGTAGGTTGGTACAGAACACCCAGCTCAACTTGGATTTCAGATAACAGCAAATAACCATTTAGTGTCAGTATGTCCCAAGTATTACACAGGACATACGTATGCTCCTATACTACTCACCCTTTTTTAATTTACATTCACACTTCCATGGGCGTTCTGTATTTTTATTTGCTGGATGTGGCAACCTTAAAGACAGTAAAAAGTTTGCCATGCATAAAAGTGAAAAATCAGGAAAGAAGAATCAATATAATTGCATTTTTCAGAGACACGAAAGTAACCATCACAAGAAGCGGCGAAAAGAGTGTCAGTCGTTTCCTCTGAGAAACAGGAATGGAGGGCAGGGAAAGTCCAGGCCACGGGATGGCCGTTTTTCTTAAACCTTAGTTAGCTGTAGTGTTTGAATTTTCACATATGCACTTCTATCACCTTGACAAAAATTAAAAATTTCCTTAGAAAAGGAAATAATTATCGATAATTTTATTTTAATCCCCTTTGTCCCCTTGTTTGTTTTTTTTTTTAATCTTATTTACTCACTTTTGAAAGAGA